GTAGTTTTACGAGGACAGTTTAGGGAAAGCTAAAGCCTTTTGGGGATTACGAGGAGAACGAGTTTGGCGGGGAATTTGAATAAACGAACATCAGGGGCGGGGAAATTACCACTTTCATCACATTTCCGAAGAAAGGGGGAAATGTGAGGAGTCTTAAAACTCTCCATAAATCCCGATGTAGGAGAGCTGCATAGTAACAGCGAAGGAGACTAAAATGCCGGGGGAGTCAAGGACAACGAGGTCAAACTGTGAACGACGGACCTTGGACCCGGGCAAAGCGGAGACACCGTGAATTAACGGTAACAGGCTGGACATTGGACCCTCACACGGCAAGGGCAACAAGGTCGAACTGTGATTTGGCGGACCCGCACAAAGAGGATGCACCGTTAACTAACGGTGCGGCAGTGGGCCTTGGACCCGATCAGCTGGAGGAGAGGAATAACGGGACCATTACAGGCAATAAAAGGGCGGCGCAAGAGAGAATCAAAGCGAGTGCGTGTACGCGAGACTAGTAGTAAGTTAATCAAGTGCCGAGTACCAGGATAAAGATCGCAAAGTCCAGACGCCGAACGACTGTAAGTCTAGAAGGCTGAGACTAATACGCTGAGATCCAACGGGTGCTAGGACAACGACGAGGAGCAGCAGTAGCGGTAGAGCCGCGAGGATATATATAAGGAGTCGAATAAAAACCTTTACGATCCCAACACAACCCTTGCGTTATCTTTGGTCAAAGGCAATCACCCAATATAAATTTGGTTAAACGGTCCCACAACCTCTCTGAGCTAGCCGCCGTTTACGTAGCGAGCGAGATATTCAGGTCGTTACAATGGATATGTAACTGTAAAGAATAGATCGCAATGGATCGAGAGGAAATTCATGCATATAGTGCCTGTAGTAATAGCGTACAATGAGTTTCAATTTATTATTACATACGACTGCAACTGCTCAATTTCACAATTTCTTATACAACGACCCTCCCAATAACAGCGTGTATTCGCGTTCATAGGTATAAAAAAATTCAAAGAATCGAGTTAGTTCTGAGTTTTCACTGTGTTTGATCAAATACATGAGCAAATTAAAGAAAAAACAAGAAAGGAAGCTACCTTCAGTAAGCCGAATTTCATATAACCTTGCAGCTATTGCAAAAATTAAACATTTTTGAAAACAATAAAAAAAAGATATACTTGCGTGTATGTCTAAAAACATTGAAGCTATGATCATTTGCAACTTAATAATTTGATAGTTCCTATCGCAGCTATATGATTTTAATAAAATTAAAAGCGTAATTCTGAACTGTCAAATTATTGGGTGTACAAGTAGAAAACCGCCGTTTTCCACTTTGTGGCGCCACCTTTGAAAATCGGCGAGGAAATTCCGATCAGAAGCATCACATGGCAAGCTTAGGTATCGGTTAACAACTCCACATCATCTCGCTCGTCTATTCTCATTGTCCATTTTTTTTTTCGTGCGCGAAAATGTCGAAATTTGAACCGAATAAGCGTAATTTGCGGGAGATTTTACTTTTTACGTTTCATTCGAAAAAATCTGCTGCTGAAGCGCGTCGAATAATGTAGCAACATATAGTGAGTCGTGTATCAGTGAAAAAACGTGCCGAGAATGGTTCGTGAAATGGTGAATGGTGATTATGACGTGGAAGACAAGGATCGGCCGGGTCCCGTGAAAAAGTTTGAAGATGCAGCTTTGGAGATTCTGTTGGATGAAGATTCTTGTCAGACACAACAAGAATCCATCACAGGAGCTCTCTATTTTGAATAATCAGTATGTAGCTATTTTCACGCAATAAAGCCTCAAACTATGAAAAAAACGGCGGTTTTCTACTTGTACACCTAATATTAATTAGTCAAAAAGAATTAAGAAAAAAAATAATTACAAAATAAAAACTTAATATTTTTTAAATTTTGTTTTAATATTTTAATTGTTCCCTTGGCAGCTTTATGTTATAATCGTTCCATTTTGATGAAATTGAAACCGAAATTCTGCAATATTAAAACTTATTATATGTCGAAGAACTAAAAAAAAATTTAAAAATAGCAGTTTTCTGTATTTTTTTTTTGCAAATGTTCCTATGGGAGCTATTTGATATATTTAACCATTACTATAAGTCGAAGAACTAAAAAAAAAATTAAAAAACAGCAAAGTAATAATTTTTTTTATTTATTATTTCGATTGTTCCTATGGGATCTATTTGCTATAGTCATCCGAACCGGCTCGTTCCGACTTAAATACTACCTGCAATAGAAAGACAACTTTTGAGTAAGTTTCATGCAGATAGCTTTAAAACTGTGAGACTAGTTTGCGTAGAAACGGACGGACAGACGGACATGGCTAGATCGACTTTCCTAGTGATACTGATCAAGAATATTTATACTTTATTGGGTGGAAACGTCTCCTTCACTGCGTTGCAAACTTCTAACTGATATTATAATACCCTCTGCATGGGTACAAAAAAATGTCAGATGAAGATTAGGACGACCTTAACAACACAATTCTTACAAATATGAAGAAAAGGGAGATTTGTACAGGTGAACGATCCCAATACAGAAATCGCGGCTCTGTTATTAACACTGCGAGCAGATATATCGAAGATTTAAAAAGGTCAAAAGGTCATTCAATTCATTCAAAAAAAAGCAAACCAAAAAACGTGCCAGATATAATGGAAGAATTAGAGTTTAGGTTTGGAAGACTAGAAGATTTTCCTAAGATATCTTTTGGAAAGCTAGAACAAATTGTTTCATTTGCAACATTTGGAAGAATTTATTGATAAGTCACCAAGAAATTTTCAGGCTAAAAGGCTGTGCACCACCGCCAAAGTTATTGATCGTCTATCTTCCGTTATCGACGCCCTTCTTAAAATTCCAGTGTTTATATAGAAAACATCGAACATTCTATCGAAATTTCAATTATGTGAAATGGAACTTAAGTGACTGCAAAACCGACCGAAAACGCAGAAGTTGCTGCTTGTTGGGATATCGGCAAAGCAAAGCGACTTTGTTTTGCGTGTCTATCAAAAGGGCACAATGTACATAACCACCAAAACAAACGAAACTGCAAGATTGACGGATGTAATCGTTCACACCACTCACAGATGCCCAACCGGGTATCGACATATCAAAGGACACAACCTGCAATCCCACCAGAAGATTCCCAGCACATGCTTAATTGCAGTACAGGTGAGAAGATAAGTATAAATAAATACCTGTTCAAGATTGTCCCCGCAATTTTACACGAACCACAGCGTAAGACTTTTCTCTGAATAATCAGCCGAATCAATGTTCGGGTACGGGGCTAGTTTCGAATATGTGATAGAATGTAAAAAGGCAGTAAAAAGGCCCTTTCTTCACGTTCTTGAACTCCGTTTATTTTACACGATGCTTTTCTCGTTTACGTCTTCTTACACACACTAATCATATCAAAACAAGCATTCCAGGCTTTCTTACAGTGTGACCGTACAAAGTAATATATCGGATAAAAAATATACCAAAACTGATAATATTACATGAAGTAATAACAATAGATTTAAATTGAACAATTCATTTAACAATTCATTGATTTAAGATTCGCGCTTCAACATACTCCCGGCCTTGATAGGATTCGGAATCTTTCAACTAAAATCCCGACATCCACAACTTGCACCGTGTCGTCGTTTTCGGCAACAGTCGCAACGACACATTCTAGTGACCAGGTTTGGGGAGCCTCGTTGTTCTCATTTATAAATACCAATTGGCCGACTTTAAGATTTTGCAGTGGATTGGTCATTTGGCACGTTGCTGAAGAGTTCCAAAATTGCTGCTTGAGAAAGATAACGCGCTGCCAGCGCGTAGTTGATATTTGTTTCCTCTTCCAAGTGTTCGTCAGGAGCTGAAATCAGTGATGTTCCAAAAAGGAACTGTTCTGGGGACACCGCTCCTCCTCATTCGGATCGGTTTTCGCTAGATTGATTGGTCGCGAATTGAGTATGTTTGTTTGCAGCTCTTCATACGTTAAGTTGGCTTCCGCCATGTTCTTCAGTAGTAAAGTTTTTGCAAGTGGCACCAGAAGCAGCCCAACATCGAGGAATGGCAGCTATGCCACGACGATAGTCGTCGTGGCATTGTCGATGACAACCTGCCACCTCAACAGTGGCTCCTGGGTCGAATCGTCGTGACTCACGCGACACAACCTGCGTCGTTACCAGGGAATTGAAGCCCCACAGTCTCAACGGGGCCGGTGTTGGCTCATTTGAATTTTTTTTTTTTTTTTGAATTGTTGTTTTAGTTATTTTGTTTTCTTTTGTTTGTTTTGCTATTTTATTTTATTAAGTTATTTTAATTTATGTTTACTGTAAGTTAGTTTAGGGCGAAGGCGGGAGCACAATAAAGCTCTGTCTCGCTCTCGTGAATTAAGTAATTTTAAAGAAATTATTTATAAGCACTCGTAAAATTTGATTTGATTCGATCGCACTCAGTTTCTCATTTCTTTGTCGTTTGCCCAAATAAAGTTCACGCCACAAACTTATTTTTCGTTGGTTTTGAGTTAGAAAAAGTATTCTAGTTTTTCGTGGCCCTTTAGTAATTTGGACTTTCTAATGTATCGAACTTTCTAGTATTTTCGGTGTTTCGTCTAAATATCGGACGATGAGCCCACCTCGAGTTCTGAACTTAGCTTCGACTTTCTTTTATACTTATGTTTGTAACCTAATATTTATTATACTCCATCGATATCTCTCTTAAATCTAACAAATTATAATCGGGTAATTGTGGCGTACATGCCTTCTGGGCAGGTTCGTCACACTAAAAATTATACCTGCTAAAATAATTTTAATCGTATATTAAGGCATGGCTCTTGTATCCAGTCTTTTTTGAGAAGTTTTTGAAAACAATTTGATTTAGTTTGAACCGAACAAACAGTGTGATCGTACAAAACTTACCGGAGCTTTATCTGTTTAGATCTTTCTGAGTGTATTTATATGTCAGTCCAATCAAAAATTAACTCAAACTTACCTGGTTTAGATGGTCGTCGACAATGCTGGTATAAGCTGCTTCAGCTAAAGCAAACACATGAGGCGATAAGTATCCCAATTTGCACTTATGATATTCGGAAATATATTGCTGAAATAAATAAGAAATAAAAATATTAGAAGCCATAAAAAACAAAATTTTTTTTTTAATTTTGTGTTTATTACTGCAAAAGTATTTTGGTTCGGCTTTTCAATGTAAGCTTAGCTTAACAATTTAAATTAGAAGTTTTTATAGCAAGAGGAACAAATCTGGCCCCCTGTAACATATTCGTTAGTTTTAATCTATTTAAGTCCTACATAATTTCGAAAACAAAAAAATTTTTTAAATGAACTACAGATCTATAATTGTGAGTTTTAATGATTAAAGCCTGTTTGCTTTTAAAGCCATTTGCTTTTAATTCTTTAAAAAAATAACATTTAAAAAAAACTGCTTTAGATCGTGAACAAGACAAAGCTAAATGTTCTTTATTTTTTAGTTGCGACGCCTATTTGGTAATGAATTGAATTTCACAACGAGCTAAATTTATACATGAGAAGACTACATAAGGGAAAATGTCTTCTTTGAATATGGCGATACCGATTTTATTATACACAACGTTCCACGAAGCACACAAGTTTCATTTAGTTCTTTAGTTCCGTTAGTTCCGTTAAAAGAAACATACATGGAGTAATTTTGTTGTTATACTAGTTCCAAGGGCGCCTGTGAAACCAATATACGTTGATAAGATTTAAATCTAAGCTTAAGAGTTGCCATTTTCTTCGCGCCTTGACCGACGTCTCCACATCTCAAGACCTTGCCAGATCGCGACGCTGTCGAACCGCCACGTTGACAGACCACTATCGATAGTCGTAGTGGGTACTCGATACTTGAAGGGTTGGCAACCTAAAAAAATTCGACGACGGGGAACGATCGCTAACGTTCGCTCTCTTGGCTCCCGGTCAGCGACAAGGAACAGACAAGTGCTACGTATTCTGGTAAAGTAATATCACGAGGCTCGATCACAACCGCGGGGTAAAGCCTTCGTGGCTAAAACATTTTAGAACTCGGTGCAGCAGCAGGGAAAACAAACCAGGTCAAGTGAAAATAAAGTGAATCCCTATATTTTCATCTCCTAAAACCCCTGTAATAAATAGTTTTTAATATTTTTAGTCTTTGTAGATCCGTCTGTTAAGAACGGGTTTTATTAATTGAATGTCACTTGACTTAAGAATAAAGTTGGCTTGGCTTACAATTCGTATAGCTGCACGAGCAGCGCCGCGGCCAACGCTTATGTTTCTAAATATATATGTTAATGTATACGTAAGTGTATATAGGCGACGCAACAGCGGCCGCGCATGAGAGAGAGAGAGTGTTATGCTCACATGGTAACCGAATGGTCGGCCGCGCATGCAGACATGCCGGCTCAGCATTTGGGTCGAATTGCTTTGCACTTGAAGTGCTGGGACTATTTGGACATAAGCAAATGCCACAATGTTGCAGTGATATAAGCGGTACAGTGTGTACCCGATATGTGAGCATACTACATCTCCCTCCTTTTGAAAAATAACGTAATCTATGGAGTTATTTTGTTAATTATTAGAAAAACTTTTTTTTTTTGATATTATTATTTTTTTTTTTTGGTAAGTAAATATTTCTTATTATTTATTAATATAATAAAGTAATTAATTTTTTTTTTTTTTTTTTGAAGAAAAAAATTTGATGTAATTTTATTTATTTTTGTTTTCTTTTGAATGGCCATCCTACAAAATCTATTCTATTAAAATTTTTAGTCTATCCTTATGAACTGTCTGGGGTTTGTTTTTTTCATTTAAAATTGTTATATTACTATTGGGTTCTATCTTCTTTACCATATATGGACCTGTATATTTAAAGTCTAGCTTATGGCCAGTTTAATTTTTTAATAAAACCTGGTCTCCTATTTTTAATTCAAAGCCTAAGCTATTGTCGTATCTATCTTTTTGTTTTTGCTTATTAGTTTTTAGCATTATTCTGTCTCTTTTATATGCCTGTTCTAGTCTAAATTTAGATTCCTTAGCATAATCTTCTATATATTGTATAATAGTTCTATTCTATTTATGCTATTGAAATGCTTTGGTAAGTTTGAAGTTTTCCCAAAAACTAGTTCGTATGGAAAATAATCATGTGCCATAGAGGGGGTTGTGTTAAAGCAGTATACGAAGTATTGTAGCCATACATCCCAATCTGTTTTATCAACTGAGATGTATGAGCGTATGAACTCGTTAAGTGTTCTGTGGCTTCACTCCACTGTTCCGACAGTCTGGTGATGGTGTGCAGTAGAATTTATGTTTTTGATATTTAAATTTTTACATAATTCTTCAATTTTTTAATTTTTTATGTTCCATGTCCGTAATGAACGTCTTCATTGGATCGTACTTCAGAATAAAATATTCAAATATAGCTTTTGCTATTGTTTTTGCACTTTTATTTGGAATTGGTATTGCTACAAGGTATTTTGTTAAATCGCAGATTAAAGTACCTACGTAATCATTCCCTTGGTCAGACTTAGGCAGTGGACCGATCGTGTCCACGATTACCCTGTCGAAAGCTATTTGTGGTGTTTCCGTAATGGTTAATGGGGTCTTCGTATGCGTGGTTATCTTCGCTTTTTGGCATTTTCGTATGTACTCTGTAATATATCGAGTCATACCTTTCCAAAAGTAATATCTTTTGACCTTCAAATATTCAACTGTGAAGTTGTACTCTTCTAATTCTCGCCTCATACGTGTATGGTCGAAAATGTAATATTGTGTAATATTTGTGCTTTGCAAAACCCCAAGATTCTAGACTAAATAATCGGATTGAGTGGCTGGTGCATTATCAATCAACAATCCAAAGGGCAATTAGAAAACTCGCTCAATAACCGCCAACTCCACTGATAGAAACCTCTAAAGCTCAAAACCGAGGTATGATCGTCAAAGAAGTTTAAGTTAAGAAGCGAGTTCAGCTTCCAAAAAAAAAAATTTGTACTAGTTGATAAATAAAATTCAATAAAGTTTTTTTTTATGTAAAACTTATAGTACGAATATTTAATTATATATATAAATTATAAAACCGTTAGGTATTTATTTTATATTTTTATTTATTTCCATACGCCCGTAAGGGCATATGTATTTTATTCAGAGTTAATTCCCTGGAGTACAATTTTTGACTAAACTAAAGAACCTATCCAACTGCAGCTTGAGGCCTTTGCCTGGATGCAGCGCTGTCGCCAAGGTGCCGGGTCAACGTTTTTTCCCTGCCCGTGGCGATCACTCGCTCCGCGAGTGCTCTGGTCTGACCCCGGGCACTTGCACCCGGAACGCGCGGTCAGCGGTTTCCTCGCTGCGCGTGCAGGCCACCAAATATGGTCTGCAACTCGGCAGTTTCTTCTCATGGGAACTGCCTGTGTTAACTTCTCCCCCTTCAAGTGGTCGACGTCCCGGGGACCCTCACGTTCCACATCTTTTTTAGTTCTTGGTTTGGTGTGACTTCTTGCCTTTAGATAGTGATAGCCCAGTCAAATGGTGGAACACAGAAAGAAGGTAGCAAGTAGGGCAAAGGAGTTGCTGAGGAAGGACCCCAGTGTAAGTTCTTCTCTGAGGGTCCCGATGTGGTGGAGACTGCTCAGACTCAGCTCGTGAAGAAATGGGAGACTCAGCCGGTTCTGGTGGGCCGTGATGTTGACTATGGCCATGGCCGACACAGCAGGTTTTCTCATTGAACTTCCCAATTGATGTACGAACCAAGTTCCGTTAAGGGCTACCTTGTCAGAATAGGTTACCAGGTAGGTTGCGGATATTTTTTTCTCTCGCCCTTGGTTGTCGGTTATGGTCACGTTGGCATCGTTCACGATCCACAATCCATAATGGTAACCGGATCCAGGTGACCTGGGAGCGTGGAGCAGTGCGCAATAGCCCCAGAAACTATTTGCTGATCGCAGGTGCCATTTTGCAGCTCCCTGCAGAAGGTGGCGCCGACCGTCGTTTTGCAATGACCGATGTTAAGGTTTCGCGCTGGGCATTCGGCGACAAGGTTCCCATCTTCAAAGTCCAGAATTTTTTTCTGGTGCTGAACTGGATAGACTGTTATCTTCTTACATATTAATTTAGGGCTAGGGAGTTTAATGAGAAAATGTAGAATTTCAGAATTTTGTAAAACACTAATACTAGATACCTCTAATAATTCTATCAAACTAACATCAATAAGCTGCCTGTCCTTAAATTCGCCAATATTGGAACTATCCAAAATTGCTGGACTTACGATGTTTAATTTTACCAGGGTTAAGTCCATTAAACTGTTTTCTAGATCCGTGATTACAATTCTATTTTTTTTTCTAGAATAATTTCCAAAAGGTGGGCTTCTATATCTGTTTCGAATTTATGGATTTGTTTTATTGAGTTTGTGAGTTCATTTAGACGATTCTGAAATTTGATATTTAATTCTGTTTGTCCTTCATCTGTTCTAATTAATTGTTATTGATTGAATTTTACTATTTTGCTCCCTATCGTTAAAGTCCGGTGTGCCGACAATAACTTTTGGTGCTGTCCCGTTTAAGTTAATACTCCTAGCGGCTCTATGGTGGATTTTTAGGTAGTCACCAACTTGCGAATATTTGTAAGGTCTGTCATTATGACTGGTGTCCTGTGATCGTCTGTAAATGTCTTCGTCATTGTTTCCGTCTGGTCGGCGTAGTCTTCATAGGTCGTCACGTTCGTTGAGTGCTGTAGGTATCCGTAGGACTCCCAGATGACAATTTCGTTGTCTTCTATCGGGATGTAGTCTGCGTTCGTGTAGTCATTAAGTTTTGCTGTCGCGTCCGTCTTGACAGCCGTAATAACAAAAATTAAGACGAATTTTCCTAACCTAGAAAAATATAAAAATAATAGAAAATGGGGTTCAGTAATCTCGCGAAGATGGTTAGCGTAGATTGTCCTTGTGGACCACCCTCCCCTCAATTTGGACCGTGGTCCCCAGGTCTGCTTCAATGATTTTTTCCGAACATAGTGGCGAGAGCTTGTTTCCTATGCGTTTGTTTGCCTTTAAGAAAACTTTTTCACCAGCTTGATAGCTTTACATTTTCTTGTGCTGCT